TTGGGGGGGTAGGAAGCTTGTCTTAATTTTGTAATCAAAATCCTTCTAAATATTTAGTCCAGGAAACAAACGACATAAAATCTCTGACCTCATCTATTAAAACACTGCCATCTTTTAGCTTCTTTTAAACTTGAACACATCTGTGCTCTAATGAATCACATTACTCTGCATAAAATTCTTCAGCTGTTGTGTTTTCAGTTTTTACTGAAGGTGTACAAAATTTGATTCCAAGTATGTCTTCTTGATCAAGTACAGGTCTCCTACTTGAAGCCAGTATTTGTCTTCCAGCAGTGGACCCAGCTTACCATCTGGTCCAGCCAGGTGTCTGAAGGGAATATAACCCATGCGACTCATGTAGGATATAAAGTAGCTGCATTTTGGTTCCTGAATTGACCTTCTGTAGTGCATCCATTCCATTAAAATAATAGGAACATCCACAGTTTTCAGGAAATGTTCTGATCTGTTGAAAACCCTTAATTCCATCTCCTCAATGTCTATTTTCATGAAAGCTTTTTTGAATCCATTTGGCAAATAGGCAGTGAGGTCATCCATAGTTATTGTACTTGCAACATAAGGGGAGGCCAAGCCACAGTTGCGCATCACTTGAGCATTTTTGACGATGTTGGTGCCCATTTTGTTGTTTCCACAGAGATAAATGGTAACATTTTCTTTTGTATCTGACAAAGCTTTTGGAACTAATGTCACTAAGTCTTGTAGGTTTCCCAGTTGAATGCTTTTATATAAATGGATGGCAGTTGGAGGAAACATTTCTGCTGCCAGAACTTTTCGTCCAAGTCGTGCTGCTGAAAGAGTCCAGGTTCCAAGGTTAGCACCCAAGTCAATCAGTTGGAGTTTTGGGTCTCTCTTTAAAATCTCTATCATTTCTTTGACTAGCTGTGGTTGCCAAAGTGTTCCTCTAGACAGCATATTTGAAAGGGGATCCCCTTCTGTCATATTGAAAATACAAATAGGAGTGGATATATTTGGATGCACCTTGAGAGAGACACAACCTATTTTTTCCCATTCCTTTTCACTCACCATGGTAGAAATGATAGCCGGAAACCGCTGTGTTATTGCAGAAATTCTTCTAGTCATTGGTTCTGCAGAATAAAGATTGTTCATGGCAACTCCTTTTATTTTTGTGTGTTTTAAGTAAAGTAGGTTCACCACAATGATAATGATAAGTGCCATTTTTATATACTTCCTGGCCATGTCAGTAATAAATGGCAATCTAGCTGTAGAAACAGATGCGTAAACCTTCGTAGTAGCGCTATGCAACTGCCTGTTCTTAGCTAGGTTTTAGTATGATAACAGTTCTGGTTTTGTTCAGATACTATATAGCTTCTTTTTATCTGCATTTGAGTTGTAATTATGTAAATCACACATGTGCTCGTCTGAGATTAAATGAATAGATGATGCTGAGTGACAGGTAACCTGGCCAATAGGATCCAGGCAGGTCCTTAGTCATCCTCCCCCCTCCCCCCAATTAGTAGATTTTAGGGTTGACAGTGCTCTGTTGAAAGTAAAACAGAGCTAGCTCTTGAGCCAGAAGGCCACAATTCACGTTGTTGAAGTTAGAGCAGGACTTCTCTGTACATTTATTCTAAGAGAGGGTAATAAACCTGTGTGAAGTTCAAGCTGAGTTTGTTTGAAAGAACAAGTCTGTCCCCTGTATACCAGAGAGATCCCCTGCACCATCTTACTATGACATAGCCCAGGATATTCTTTTTATCTTTTNTGAAAATATCCCTACCTCTATATAAATGGAAATCATATACTCATTTTTCATAAACCCAGCTATATTTCCACAAACAATGTTTTATTGTTAATTCCAAGAAACACAAGCATAAAATGTGTATCACATTGAAGACTTCTACACTCTTATGAATCATATTCAGGGGTGGTTCCAGAGATATTTTCTGACAGTCTTCCAAATGATCTTTGTTGATCCATCCTCCATTTTTGACTGTCTTCCTACAGAATAAATTAGATGCCCGTCAATGTAAACTTGAAAATCTGACCGTTTTCTCCAGAGGACCCAGAAGACAGCCTCAATCCGCCCCTGATATTACCCCTGATATTACTGAAGTTGTGCAAAATTTGATTCCAAGTATGTCTTCTTAATCAAGTACAGGTCTCCTACTTGAAGCCAGTGTTTGTCTTCCAGCAGTGGACCCAGCTTACCATCTGGTCCAGCCAGGTGTCTGAAGGGAATATAACCCATGCGGCTCATGTAGGATATAAAGTAGCTGCATTTTGGTTCCTGAATCGACCTTCTGTGGTGCGTCCATTCCATTAAAATAATAGGAACGTCCACAGTTTTCAGGAAATGTTCTGACCTGTTGAAAACCCTTAATTCCATCTCCTCAATGTCTATTTTCATGAAAGCTTTTTTGAATCCACTTGGCAAATAGGCAGTGAGGTCATCCATAGTTATTGTACTTGCAACATAAGGGGAGGCCAAGCCACAGTTGCGCATCACTTTAGCATTTTTGACAATGTTGGTGCCCATTTTGTTGTTTCCACAGAGATAAATGGTAACATTTTCTTTTGTATCTGACAAAGGCTTTGGAACTAATGTCACTAGGTCCTGTAGGTTTCCCAGTTGAATGCTTTTATATAAACGGATGAAAGTTGGAGGGTACATTTCTGCTGCCAGAACTTTTCGTCCAAGTCGTGCTGCTGAAAGAGTCCAAGTTCCAAGATTAGCACCAAAGTCAATCAGTTGGAGTTCAGGGTCTCCCTTTAAAATCTCTATCATTTCTTTTATTAGGTGTGGTTGCCAAAATATTCCTCTAGATAGCTTTTTTGAAGCGGGATCCCCTTCCGTCATATTGAAAATACAAATAGGAGTGGATATATTTGGATGCACCTGGAGAGAGACACAATGGATTTCTTCCCATTCCTTTTCACTCACCATGGTAGAAATGATGGCTGGGTACCTCTGTGTCCTTGCAAAAATTCTTCTAGTCATTGGTTCTGCAGAATAGAGATTGTTCATGGCAGCTCCTTTTATTTTTGTTTGTTTAAAGTAAAGTAGAACCACCACAATGATAGTGATGACTGCCACTTGTATATACTTCCTTGCCATGTCAATAATGAATAGCAATCTAGCTGCAGAAATGGAAAAATCTTTGGCAAGAGTGCAACTTCCTTTTCTTAGCTAAGTTTTAATGTGACAACAGCTCTGGCTTTGTTAGGATGAAAGCCAAAAATGACAAAAAGAGAGACTGGAAAACATGATCTTCATAGCGTGTTGCACATAAATCTGCCAACAAGACTATGAATATTTCAAAAGTGACTCAGCAAATGCACAGTCATGTAAACTTAGTAAAAGGGGTTACCTTCATAAATATCCCTTTTGCTATGTACAAATGAAAAGAAAATTATGTATATGTATACCTTATGTATAGGTTTATATCAGTATGTATGTGAAGTTAGCCTTTTCTGTGATGTTTTCTGTCTTCTAGGTGTAAATTAACAATTAATCTTACCTTCATAGGTTTTTTTTGGGGGGTGGGGGGGGGGGGGAGTTTAAGAAGCTTAACTTTGTAATCAAAATCCTAAATGTTTAGTCCTGGAAACAAACTGACATATAAAATCTCTGACTTTATCTGTTAAAACAATGCCATCTTTAAGCTTCTTTTAAACTTGAACCCATCTGTGCTCTAGCGAATCACATTACTCTGTATAAAATTCTTCTACTGTTGTGTTTTCAGTTTTAACTGAAGGCATACAAAATTTGATTTCAAGTATGTCTTCTTGATCAAATAAAGGTCTTCTACCTTGAGCCAGTATTTGTCTTCCAGCAATGGACTGATACAACTTCCTAATCTTAGCTAGGTTTTAGTATGACAACAATTCTGGTTTTGTTCGGATAAAAGCCAAAAACAGTAATCTAGTGAGACTCCCCATGGGGATAGATTGATCTAAAATCTATGGGAATGCGCCCTAACATGAGTGCTGACCCTGTACTGAGTTGCAGTAAGAATTCCTTTAATTAATATCTATATCATGAGGGGTGACAGAGGCCCTGCCTCTGTAAAGCAGATATACCAATTTGAATAATTAAAGCAAGATTACTGAAACTTCCAGTATAAGAATATTCAGATGAATTAAACTACTTTCCACAATTTTATAGGTAGCTACCAGTTAAGCTAGCTTTGTCTTGATTATCACTTCAAATCATAGCTTATTTATCTATAACAAAGCCCAGGATATTCTTTTTATCTTGTGAGATTAAAATCAAACATTATCTGTGTGTACAGAGATGACTACCAAGATTAAGATTTTGACGTAATGTATGATTGCTTACTTTTGATATACATATATTAAAAGCTTTGAAGCAAAAAAAGAAAATATGAAAGAATGAAATCAGTGGGCTTTTAGGATGCAAGGTTTGTGGAAGCATTTCATTAATAATTTCTTGAACTGATATCTTTAAGCTGAAAACGGGAAACATATTATGTTTTTTTCCAAGAATTGTATTTAGTTTCTTGACTTATGTATAATAAGGAATAAATTATATTTGATAGATAATTTACTTGGATTTATTGTCGATCATTATAATCTAAACATTCCATTGTATGTTTTGATAGATTGAAATCTTTAAAGCCTGGATATTATGCTTGCAAATCACTTTAACTCAGCTGCAGTTAAAGGAAAGCCATGTTACTTATTATTTTCATACCTATAAGAATGGTTCACAGACCCAAAATACAGCTTGATTTAATAAAAAACAGCTTGATTGGATGGGATTTTTTTCTTGATGAAGTTGTTTTTGTGATTCTTTTTATCAGATAGCATTTTTCCAGTTGTCACTTCAAAATCCCTTGCACCTGAAACCCTGGTCTAGTTACATTTTTTTAAGTGTCCTTAGTAATAATAATTAAAAAATTTATTCTGTAAAATTGCTTCATTATTGAAAGAAATATTTTGTGCACTTTCATTGTTAAATTTGTGGTTCATTTTGAGACCATTCTGCCGTCTTGCCTCTGTCATTTTTGTCTGTATATTTGTAGAGTGTTCAACTGTCATGCCTTTATCATTTTTTTGTCTGTCCGCTTGACAGCTTTGCTGCCTTTTTTGTTAATTATTATTATTTAATTAATTGATTAATTAATTAATTTATTATTAGTATTTTTTTGTTAACAAAAGGGCATTCACGTTTTGTATGAGGTTCTAACGGGTGGACATCTTGACGTGTTTATTGAAGACAACATGTCAGGAACCACAGTATAGAAAAAAGTGAAATTAGTTCTTAACATGACGTAGTATTAATTCAATCAAAGGAAGCCATTGTTTGATAAAATCCACACATGGGAAGCCAAGTTGTATAAGTAGCTTTAGATAATATTTTACACCTAGCAGTTCAAATTTCAATGTCCTTTGTTTCAAGCTAGTAATCTGTTAGAGCTTGATTACATTGAGTTATTTGGGGTGCCCACCATGAGGGGATGGACTTGTGTCTGAAGTAACCAATGAGTTTATAAGTAATGTGATGGACAGGATGTGATAAAGTTTAGCGTAAAAATCTGTGAACTTCAATTTAGAGAGACAGATATACAGGAAGAGAGGTCATGCTTGTACCATGTAACTTTTAGTTTAGCAAAATATATTCTGTTGAAGTTACAACATGGAGTCGTTTCATTCTTTTCCGTGTGCAGAGTTTTAAGCATGGATCTGGGAATCTCCGTAGCAGTATTACAGATCTCATTATCCAAAGATGTGAGCCCATTGTGCCCAACCCCTGTGGTTTTATTATAAAGAGTTATTTTATGTTATGTGGGGGTCGGGGTAGTCAAAGGAAGGTTCCCCCACCAACAGACTGATACAATTTGAAATAAAGGGAACACTCATGCTTTATAGCAAAATAAATAATAAAAAAAACACCTCAATTGATTTATACATTTACTTCTGATAAAAAGGTAAAACAAACATATACCTTTAAATTGGCCAATCTACTGACCTTTGCTAAAACATGCTAAAATGAACAAACCCCAGTAAGATAATAATAATGAAAATAGCCCTACCTCTATGTAAATGGTTATCATATACTTAATTTTCAATAAACCCAGCTATAGTCCACAAACAATATTTTGTTGATAATTCCTAGAAATACAGGTACATACATGGGTATCAAGTTGGGACCAAGTAAGAGAGCCTTTTCTTTGTGATGAAATGAAAGTTGTAAAATTAATCTTATCTTCATTTTTGTTTTGTAATTATTGATTGTTGGAAGCTTATGATAATTAGTAATCAGAATCCCGCTAAATAATAAGTCCAGGGGAAAAAATCTCTGACCTCATCTGCAGTGCTTTCTTTGAACTTGAACACGTCTGTGCTCTAATGTATCACATTACTCTGCATAAAATTTTTCAGCTGTAGTGTTTTCAGTTTTTACTGAAGGTGTGCAAAATTTGATTTCAAGTATGTCTTCTTGATCAAGTACAGGTCTGTAATATGGAGCCAGTGTGTGTCTTCCAGCAGTGGACCCAACTTACCAGCTGGTCCAGCCAGGTGTCTGAAGGGAATATAATCCATGCGGCTCATGAAGGATATAAAGTAGCTGCATTTTGGTTCCAGAGTCGCCCTTATATAGAACCTCCATTCCATTAAAATAACAGGAACGTCCACGGTTTTCAAGAAATGATCCGATCTGTTAAAAACTCTTAATTCCATTCCCTCAATGTCTATTTTCATGAAAGCTTTTGTAAATCCATTTGGCAAATAGGCAGTGAGGTCATCCATAGTTATTGTACTTGCAACATAAGGGGAGGGCGAGCTACATTTGCGCATCAAGATGTTGATGGCCATTTTGCTTTTTCTGCAGAGATAAATGGTAACATTCTCACGTGTATCTGACAAAGGCTTTGGAACTAATGTCACTAGGTCCTGTAGGTTTCCTAGTTGAATGCTTTTACGTAAGCGGATGACAGTCGGAGGAAACATTTCTGCCGCCAGAACTTTTCGTCCAAGTCGTGCTGCTGAAAGAGTCCAGGTTCCAAGGTTAGCACCCAAGTCAATCAGTTGAAGTTCTGGGTCTCTCTTTAAAATCTGAATTGTCTTTATTAGGTGTGGTTGCCAAACTGTTCCTCTGGACAGTACTTTGGAGAGGTTATCACCTTCTGTCAAATTGTAAATACAAATAGGAGTGGATATATTTCGATCCACCTTGAAAGGGACACAGCTGATTTTTTCCCATTCCTTTTCACTCACCAGGTTAGAAATGATGGCCGGGAACCTCTGTGTCCTTGCAGTCTTTGGTGTTCCAGAATATAGATTCTTTATTAAAAATCCTTTAATTTTTGTTTGCTTAAAGTAAAGTAGAACCACCACAATAATAGCGATAAATGCCACTTGTATATTATACTTCCTCGCCATGAATGGAAATCTAGCTGTAGATAAAAAGAAGAATCTTTGGCAGGAGTGCTGATGCAACTTCCTATTCTTAGCTAAGTTTTAATATGATAACAGCTCTCATTTCGTTTTGTTTGCCTGAAAGCCAAAAAATTATAAAAAGAGAGACCGTAAAACTTGATTTTCATTGGGTGTTGTATTATCTGCCAGCAAGACTATGAATATTTTAAAAGTGAAGCCGCAAATGCACAGTCACCTAAACTTAGTAAAAGGGGTTACCTTCACAAATATCTCTTTTGCTATGTACAAATGAAAAGAAAATTATGTACATGTATACCTTATGTATAGATTTTTATCTGTACTTATGTTAAGTTAACCTTTTCTGTGATGTTTTCCATCTTCTAGGTGTAAATTGATAAATGAAAATTATCTTTATAGGTTTTTTTTTTTTGGGGGGGGGGGG